TGAAGGCAGTTACAGATAATAATAAATGGTCACTCGAAAGTACTGAAGTTGAACATTGCTGCGAAAGGGCATATTTTGTTGAAGTCTCATATTTAAACCAGGCAGGTTCATTCTGGTCAAGGCACTTGGGAATGAACCAAAGACTGGCTGTAACCCATTTTCTTCAGTTGAAACAGGCAGCATATGTGTACATGTTCATCATGTCTGAAAATGACAGGGCCTTCTGCAATAACATATAACTTCTATTACATGCAAGTGCACCTCACTGTGAGCCTAACAGTCTTAAATTGGTTGTCATCATAATTCTTAGCACACATCAGGAATTTTTAACCAATTTTATCCAATTAGGATCACATCTAATGTCAGACACTGTTGAATTTTGCAAGCACAGGCTGATTGAACATGATCAGTATCTTGCCTGTTAGAAACAGCTGAAGGAGCCTGCAGTTTGCTTCAGTTTGCCAATCTTTTGGATGTACTGCCTACATACCTCAGGACAATGCTTTGACCAATTAAAATAAACTTGCCTATTTTAAATTTAAACGAAGCTTGGCAGTTAACTGTCAGTTATCATCCAGTTGGTGCATTTTTCATGGCACTGTCTCTACCAATAACAGCCCACTCACCAACTGATACAATACTTCTGGTTCTATTAGTCCATGGTTCAGAACCTTAAATAACAATATAATAGAAATCAAGATGGCCAATGAAATATCGTATCTAGATATGGTTTTAAAAAAAAGATTTTCAACCAGTTATCTTTAGTAAGCGTAAAATTATTCAATGAAGATACAAAAACAGGTTAACATACACATAGTCAGTAATGTGGAAGTACAAATGTTTATTTCTCTAAATAAATCAAAACACATTCTTTAGGAAAATAAAGATTTGTGTGCAGATATTCAGTTAAAAAAAAAAACTTTCTGGCCCTTAGGGTTATTCCTGAAGGTAAAAAATGGATAAAGCAGAGAATGTTCTGCACTCTGTCTTACTGATATTTCGTCATGAGTGATCATCACTAATCATGTATGGTTACTCAGGAAATAGAACATTGAGAAGTTCTTTCAAACTTTCTTTCTTTCAGAAGAAATAGACTTCACCCTGAACTCATCAAGATTCTTTTCAGAAAAAAAACAGCTGTGTAGTCCTTCCTCACAGTCATCTTATTCCCCAACTAAGGCCAGATACCAAAGCAATCTACATCAGTTTCAATTTCAAACAACCCTATGAGGTGATCTATAGCAAAGTAGTTATTAACAGTCATTTGATTTCCAGCTCACCTTGTTAAAAAAAAAATTCTCAATGTCCACAGTGATCTTTAAAGTGATCACTTTAAAGAAACCACTCCAGGTACTTCCAAAAAAACTCAAAATCCATCTTCCACAATCCCCCAAAAACATAAATACTCCAAGAAATATTAAAAATGAAGCATCTTCAATAACAACATCTAATCTGCACTTTTTTCTCGTACATTTTAAAATATTGTTCCTATTTACATTTGCACCTGCAAGCTGAAAAAGCAGTGGACCTGTCCAGAAAAAGCCTAGAGCAGAAAGATACAAATTGGGAGAGGTTCAAGGCTTTCACATACCTGTGAATAAGAGAATAGAATTATAATTATATATATTGTGTGTGTGTGTGTGTGTTTACACACACAATATACACTCTATATTAAAAATATAGATAGCAATAAACATATAAGAGGATTATGAAAGTTGCATTGATGTGTAAAAAGGAAAAGATTATCAAAGACACATATAGGTACATACATGCAGGAACAGGAGAACTCATAATGGGATATAGAGACACGGCAGATAAACCAATCAGTGCTTTTTGTCTGCCTTTACAGAGAAATTTATAAGAACTCTTCCTGAAATAACAAAGATCCAACGGTCCAATGACAGTTCGAAACTAAAGCTATTTGTTAAGAAAAAAAAAATCAGCACTAGAAAAATGAATGGGACTTCCAGCTGAAAAGTCCCTGGGGCCTGAAGATCTTCACCATAGTGGCACTGTCACTGGACTACTATCCACAGACCCAGGGATTGTCTGGAAATTTGGATTCTAATTCCACATTGACAGATGATGGAATCTGAATTCAACAAAAAGACAAAATTCTAAGTCTAATGACGATCATTGTCATAAAAACCCATCTGGTTTACTAATGTCCTTTGGTGGAGGAAAATCAGACATCTTTACCTAGGTGGGCATAGGTGACTCCAAAACCCTCTTCAACAAAAAATGCATGAGGGCATACCAGGATTAGCACCGGGCACTGAAATGGATGTGTCAACTGGACGAAGCTACAACACAGAACGTGTATGGCAAATAGCAGAATCAACAAAGTAATAGACAGGGATATGCAATCCTACAAGCAACCAATCAGATCTAAGCTCTGCAGTCCTGTCACATCCACTCATGAATGGTATTGGACAATTAAACAACTCGCTGGAAGACACAGCTCTGCAATATCTCCATCCTTAATGGTGTGTGGGCCCAGCACACTAGTATAAAAGACAGTATTTATGCATTTGCACCCATCTTCAGTCAGAATGCTGAGTGATGATCTATTTTGACCTTCACTTAGGAACTCCAGCATTGCAGTTGCCCGTCTTCAACCAATTCAATTTATCATACATGATGTCAAGAAATGGCTGTAAGTACTGGACACTGCAAAGGTAATTTAGCTGACAACATTCTGGCAACAGTACTGAAAACTTGTGCTCCAGAACATGCTGCACCCGTGGTCAAGCTGCTCCAATGCAGCTACAAGACTAGCATCAACCTGCCCAGGTATGTCATTTCCACATGTGCAACAAAATCAAAACCGCCCAACACCCCCTCACCCCACCCCAAGCTGCCATTAGTCTACTCACGATCAACAAAAAAAAACAATAGAAAGTGTCATGAAGGTATTAACTGGTACTTATTCAGCAATAATTTGTTCACTGCACTGAGTTTGGGCTCTGTCAGGTCTACTCAGCTCCAAATTTCATTGGTCCAAACATAGACAAAACAGCTAAATCCCAGTGGTGAGATGAAGTAAGAGTGACTGCATTTGACATCAAGACAGCAGTTGATTGGGTATGGTATTAAGGAGCCCTAGCAATATTGGAATCACTTTGAATTAGAGGAAAAATTCTACTTGTTGGAGCCTTAACTGGCACAAAGGAAGATGGTAGTGCTTGTTGGAAGTCAGTCAACTGAGTTCAGAATATCACTGCAGGAGTTCCTCAGGATAGTGTGCTCAGGCGTACGACAATCAGTTGCTTCATCAAATCACGCCCTCCATCATAAGATTAGAAGTGGGATATTTGCTGACAATTGTGCAACGTTCAACACTATTTACAATTCCACAAACATTGAAGCAGCTCGTGTTCACATGAAGCAAAACCTGAACATCCAGGCCTGGGTTGGTAACTGGCAAGTAACATTCATGCCACACAATGCCAGGTAATTAGGCAATTCAACCATCGCTCCTTGATGTTCAGTGGCATTACCATGACTGAATCCCTCATTATCAACACCCTGGGGGTTTTGTAGACCAGTGTTGGGCCAGCCAGATAAATACAGCCACAAGAGTTGATCAGAAATTGGGAATTTTGCTATGCATAAGTCACTTTCTGATCCACCAGTGCCTGTCTATTGTCTAACTGTCACAAATCAGAAGTGTGATGGAACACATTCCACCCAACTGAATGGATGCTGCTCTAACAACACTCAAGAAACTGAACACCATTCAGGACAAACTAGCCGACTTCATTACGATCGAATTCAACAACTTCCATATTCACTGCCTTTACTACCAATGAACACTGTCAGCTGTTTTCACATACTACAAGATAGAACAGAATCATAGAATCCCTATAGTGTGGAAGCAGGCCAGTTGGCCCATCAAGTCTGAAGAGTATCTCACCCAGACCCAAATCCCTACACAATCTCTGTAACCCTGTAATTCCCATGGCCAATCCACCTAACCTGCACACTTTTCGACTGTGGGAGGAAACCCATGCAGACACTGGGACAATATGTAAACTCCTGACAGACAGTTGCCCGAGGGTGGAATCGAACCTGGTTTCCTGGTGCTGTGATGCAGCAGTACTAGCCACAGAGCACCATACTGCCCCACTGAAGATGTACTTCAGTAACTCACAAAGGCTATTCTGAAGCATCTTCCAAACTTGTAGCCTCTATTATCTAGAAGGATAAGACTCATGCATGAAAACACTGCAAGTTCCCGTCTATCCATATATCATTCTAATTTGGAACTATATTGCTTTTCCTTCTCTGTTACTGGTACAAAATCCTGGAACGTCCTCTCTAACAGCACTGCCAACTGTATTCACACTCCAAGGACTCTGGCACTTCAAAAGTCAGCATTTATGGGCTATAAACGGTGGCCTGACCAACAATAGCATCATGCTATGAATGAGAAAAAAGGGAGGGTACAGAACCTTCAGAATTCTCTTTCCCTGAAGGCGGCAAAATCTCAGTTATTTAAGCTCTAAAACAGAGATTAATAGATTGGTAATTACCAATGACATCAGGGAGTATGGAGACTGCCTGGGGAGTACGGCATTGAGGTAGATGATCTGCTATGATGGTACAGCAGGCCCGAGGGGCTAAATGGCCTACTGCTGCTCTGAAGTTCCTACTTTGGTATCCTCGCGATTGTCCTGAGGACTGCAAGGTTAAAAGCATTGACAAGATAACTTGCCACTGATGTTCACCATGTGAATGAGAAATGAAAAATTGGAAAGTTAGAAACATTTCAGTAATGAACCTTTTTTACTCTCTTGGTAATGACAGCAGGAGTCAAAAAAAAAAACTTTGATCTGGGTCTAAAATACACCCAAAATAGATGTCAATTTGGAATGGTGACAGGAAGAAAAATAAGTAGGGCAGCATAACAAAGAGGTCACAGCTCTTGTTTCAGCAAAACTTTAAGCAAACTCTGAACAGTGAAAGTATATTATGAACTTCAAAGTGGTCTTCAGTGGTACTGTTTCAGGTAGAGTTTAATCAAAGCTTTGATAATTGTATAAGGATCATTTGCTGATTTGAGGAGAAAAAGTGTCTGTTTCACTAGCAATAAGATTGTGATCAGTACTGGAATCGAGACCTGCAATTAAACAAACTATACTATCTTTGAGACAATATTGCAGGATACTCTAGCCAAGGATAGATGCTTAGAAATCAAAAATAGGCACAACCTTGGACTGCAAAATATTCTTGTGACCAGGCAGAAAAGAAAGTTAATTTCCCTGCATCAAAATTTTAATCAGAGGGTATATATGGCATTTATTGACAACTCCCATAATTAATTTAAAAACACAATAAATTGTACACGTAATTGTAGTGTAAAATAAGTTAGCAAGGTTTTGCTAGTAGCTTACCATATTAGTTATTAAAACATTTCAAGGCAATGAAATTAAAATGATTGAATTAAGATTGCAAAGTTTTAGCTATCACAGTGGTAACATTTGGCAATGCAGGTTACAATGTATTGTTCACTTATTGTCACTACCTGCAATGTTAAAAGGCACATCAATAACACACAAATTAAATAAAGCACATGAAAACTATATGCTGACACTTCCAAAAGATACAAAAATTTAAAACTAATTACTGGCCTTACTCTCAGAGCAAGGTGCTGATGTAGTCTCAAATTTTGCAAGCTCTGACTTTTTCCACAACAACACACCAGTTAGCATGATCATAATATGTTTGAATCACTTGCAGATCTTCAATGTGCTTTTCTATGAGTTCAATAAGCTCCCCTTGTTTGAAAACATGATAGTATCTGAGGCAAGTACTGTTGTAATTAATCTGATCTTTTTTGCCTTTTGCCAATACGTGAGTCTCCAAAGGCCAATTACTTGAGTCAGTAGTCACATTTCTCTGCATTTGTGGATGCACGTTGTTGATGCTCTCAAAGGTAGAGTCATTTGTGGATTTATTTTCATTGGGACAGTTCAGAGACTCATTTTGGAACAAGGCCCGTGAAGTAAGATCAGGCAAGGAAACTTCAGAACAGCTACGTAAAATGCCAGAAGACTCCTGCATTTTAAATGATCCCATGCATGGATGTTCAAAGAATGAGGTGAGTGGATCTGAACCGTTGTAATGGTTAAGTGATCGTGACTTGGAAAGGACATCAAAGACATCTTCAGAACTCTGCCCATAGGAAAATACATTAGATTCAAATCTGGTCACATTGTCAGTTTTTCCTTGTTCAAAGGACTTATTATTTGTTTTAAATGAAGTAATATAATCCCAAAGCATTCGTACCTCTTTAGGGGATTTTGTTCTATTATTGCTGCTAAACTGGGGTGAAGAATTCAGTGATTGAGAAAATATCCACAGATTTAAAGATTTTGCAACCAATAACGTATTCTCCAGTACCAAAGAGGATACTTGGTTTCCTTTAATGTATTTCTTACACATATTGAATTCATTGTTAGGCAACCTATTTGAATTTAAAGGTTTGTCTTTGTGAAAAAATTCATTATTAATTTGTTGGAATGATGTACTTTGTTCATTTAGAATTTTGGACCTTGATGATTTTGATGGTGGTGGTGTAGGGTTCCACGGAATAAAAATATCTTGCTTTTCAAATTTACGTCGATTTTGTTCCATTGCCCATACGTAGATCATCATTTTCCCTCTCACTCGCAAAATCCTTGCCATTTCTTTTATTGCTTGAATACGACGTTGTTTTGTGGAAAAATGGTGTACCACTAAAATAGAAAGTAAAATTTTAAACACTTTACTATGATATGTATGGATGTATTGTACGTAATTGATGTGTATACACACATACATGCATGCCAAAACATGTATGTTAAATCAGTATATTTTCAAAGTCATGGTTAGCAAAAATACTTCACTATTTACATTGCAAAAATAACAATTAACACAAAAAATTTAAAATCAAATTTTTTCAATAAGCTTTCGAAATGGCAAAATGGCCAACGAACTGGCACAATAACAGGTCTAACTCAGTCAGCACTCTCAACATAACCAAAATTACTCAAACTTACTTGCAGACTGTTATGAATTCTTTCCTAACATTTCTCACTGGCTTTTTCCACTTGTGAGCCAAAGCCTCGATTATTTCTCTTCCTGAAGTTACTCCATCTTCCAGATCTATATTTTTGATTTTCATTGTTTAAAGCTTTTGCCCCTCAATGTCTCTTTGGATCTTTGGGCATGTACAATCTTTTATTCCTGTTTTTTGTTTTGCTTATGCTCACTCCCAAATACTACCAGCCGCAAGCCCGTACTTTCTCAAATTGTTGTTAGGGCCTGTCATTTTTCATGTATATTACCAAAGGTGAAGGATGTGTTCTGGTACATCAGTAAATTAATATGTACAAGACCAAAATAAATATTCAGAGACAACAGAAAGGTAACAGGATGAAGGGATCCAGAGGCAAGACACCCACAACAATGAAAAGTGTGGCAGTCTTCAGAATGAGAATGAGAAAAAAAATCATAGCAAGAAAAGGAGGCAAAAAGATAGCTGGTGACATACAGAAAAAAAATTAAAATTAGGAAACAGGAAACAGTTCAAAGCAGACTTGCATTGGATATCAAATACTCTGTATATGCCACATATATATTAATTTTGAAGTGAACTGATTTTGTTTTAAACAAATGCAGCAACTATCAGGTGCCAAAAAAGTCTCTCAAAACAGCAGAGATGAATAATTAATTGAGTTTAGGTGATATTGATCAAGGAGGAAATATTAGCCAAGACACCTTGACAACTCCTTGCTTCTCTTCAAACAATGACATTAAATTTATAACACCCATCTGAACCATTGAAACACCTAAATCTGCGATCTCTACCAGCTAGAATAAATTGGGCAGGAGATGCATGGGAACAGAACCACACGCAAGCACCCCTCGAAGAAATATACATCCTCATTTGGAATATTTTCACTGTCCATTCACTCATGCTGGGTCAAAATCCTGGAACTCCCTTTCTAACAATATTCAACGTACCTCTGCCACAAAGACTGCAATGGTTTAAGGAAGCTCACCACCATCTTCTCAAAGGCACTGAACAATAAATACAGCCAGTGAGATCCAGATCCCATGAATGAATCTCGAAAAAAGGAAAACTGTAAGTCTAACAACGCAGCTTGCCTTGAGAGCGCACTGAATTACTAGTCCAGTTTCTATGCAGAGGGAAGAGGTATGGTTAATCTTATCATCCATATAGCATACCACAAGTGAGAATTAATACCTATTATACTAGGTGCTGGATCATGCAGCTCTCATCACCACATCCTATCCAGAACTCTCAACCTGAATACAGTGCCTGGTAGGTGGTGAAAACAGTTTCAATTCTGAATTAGATTTAGAGTTGAGACTTGTAGATTTGCATTGCAAAGAACGGGTACGTGCGATTATTTAGATAACTCTCTCAAACAGCAGACAGGGCTGAATAGTTTCCTGTTCACTGTAAGATTGTTTGCTTATAAAACAACACACTTTCTGATTCATCATGAGGAACACCACAAGAGAAATAGTTTATCCACATACTGTTATGATCAATTTTTTTTTTGGGGGGGGGGGTGGTAGATGTGGAGGCAGTGTGCAACAATTTATTACTAGTCTCAATCCTCCACTGGTCATATTTAACCAGGCTGGTGATCTGACCAATCATCTAACTCTCAGACTGTGTCACGTGTTAAGAACAAATCTGTCAGGTTTTGACAGTCAATGACAAATACTGGTTTATTGCCAAAACAATATACTCAATCAAAACTGTAAAGACTATTGACAAAAAACATTTAGACAGTGCAAAGATAGATATGATTTATATTCTAACAATCCAAATGTGACGAGGCCTATATGAGTAACAGACGAGTATGAATTGAGCATCCCACATAGCACATCAAATAACAAATATTATCAGTGCTATGGATTTCTCAGTAATTCTCATCTCTACCCCCACCCCCAAAGATATTAGTGACATTGTGGATCATCATATCTTCACAATGGATTATAATTTTCACTTTTGACAACCTGTCCTTAAAACTCCCTCAACTATGAACTGTCTCAACAACTGCTCACATTCTTGTTGTCCACCTTCCTTTTTTGTGTCTAACTCTTCTGGATTCTTGAAAACTGCACTCTAGCACTCAAGTCATAAGCACAACTTCAGTGCTGCCCCTGGATTTTTTTCGAACTCTAATCTTGCTCAGTTGTACAAAGCACATCCTGCTATGGGCTTCCAATAGCACCGCCCACTCTCTGCTGCAGCAAGTTATTAACTGCATAATGCTTCTAATGAGCCCAAAAGCTTTGAGGACTTTTCTGGTTCCCTGACCAAAACACAAAGCTGCCTCCTATCTCCTAGAACTTTCTCCTGGTGCTAACAGCATCAAAATATCCAGCTACTCGGTGACTCACAGAGTTCCTAATTGCATGGATTCTGTTTGGTTCAGTTGCCTTTTCAGGAGTACAGCTTGACAGGTCTTTTCTGCATGGTGTTTATTTCTCTCTCTCACTCATCAAGTGAACCCCAGCAACACAGAGATATTCAACCTATCTAAGACATCTGAGCACTTCATCTAAACAGAACACATGGTTCAGTTATCTAGCAGCAGCACTGCCTATCATGGAGTTTCCACTTGTCTCTTTCTCCAACTGAGAGCCCAGGTCCCTGGCGATATGAGGCAACGGTGCTAACCAATGAGCCACCATGTCGCCCATATCTTCTCATCTTACATCCTATCACAGAACTTGCTTTTGTCCTTCTCTTTCTCCCCCTTGATCAAAACCTATTTCATTTCCAGCTTTTCTTTTGGAAAAAGTCCTCAATCAGAAATGTTAACTGTTTCTGTACATGTTGCCTGACCCGAGTATGTCCAGCATTTTCTGTTTTTATTTCAGATTTCCAGCCTCATCCATAATCTGCTTTTTGAGTCATAGCATTTAGCTTGGTTTACTTTGCACCACCAGTGGCTGGAGTGTGGTCTTTTTCAGCGGTAAATTAATAGATGCAACTGCAGTAAAATTTGTCATTGAATTTTGTTCCCGTATGTAATAGGTTTTTCTCAGATAGCATCTGTGTCATACCTGTCTATAAATCATACAATTAGATTGTGTTGAAAAATGTGAATTCCAAAATAAGAATGTATGAAATAAAGGTTAATTTGTTAACTCTGAATTAAGATGACTGAGTTACCCATTAATAATAAGACTGAAATGCTTCCTTTGCAATGGGGTTATGAATTAATGTTTAATCAGAATACTTGAGACAGGCTTTTATTTATAGAGCTCTACTTGCGTCTAGTTTACAATTAGATCACTAAGGTTCAAACATATTTGGAGATGCAACAGGAAACAAATGCTTTCCAAATTAGGATAATGAAGATATTGACTCTTAATTTTTAAAACATGTATTGAACATGAGTAATTTTACTTTCCAATTCTAAGCTCAGTGAATCATTAACATTGGAAGTTTATGCTTGTATGACGTGTAGGAGTCACTGGCAAGGTGCCATTAGCTGTTCACCTCTATTTGCCCTTGAACTGAGAGGCTTACTCAGTCATTTGAGGAATCTACCATGTTACTGTGGGTTTGGAATATAGGCCAGACCAGGACAGAACGGCAAATTTCCTTCGCTAAAGAATATTAGTGAACCAAATGGAGTGTTAAGACATAGACCAACTTTTAATGCATTTATTTTATGTGTGAACAAATGCAAAACCACACTATATATATTCAGGACTTAGTGCCATAGTGGTATTGTCACTGGACCAGCGATCCAGGAAAAGGCTCAAGGGCATGTCACCTGCTGCAATTTAAATTCAATTAATAAATCTGGAATATTGTCTGTAACCGTGACTATGACTACAATAACACTGATTGTAAAACCCAAGTGAACCCACTTGTTTCAGTCAGCTGCATACATGTTCACATTGCTTCTTCTCATGTTTTGTTTTCCTCTCAGTGCATCACCACTTTGTTGAGCCGTGTAAGACCAATTCTGCTGTCATTCAGCCTTTCTCATCATAGAATTATAGAATGCCTATAGTGCAGACACAGGCCATGCAGCACGTCAGCTCTGCACCGACCCTCTGAACAGCATCCCACCCAGACCACCTAGCCACCTTATCCCCATAACCCCGCTAATCCATGGATATGCCTGCACATCCCTGGACAAATTTAGCAAGGTTAATCCACCTAAACCGCACATCTTTGGACAAAAGAAAGAGAAATCTTCCATCCTTACCTTGTCTATCCTATAGGAGACTGTACAACCATAGCAGAGTATTGATTCTTAGCTGCTCTCTGAAATGGTTTAGTAAGCCACTTCAATTAAGGGCACTTAAGAGTCATACAGCATGGAAACAGACCTTCGGTTGAACTCGTCCATGTTAATCAGAATTCCAATCTGACCTATTCCCATTTGCCAGCATTTGGCCCATATCCCTCTAAAACTTTCTATTCACATACTCATCCAGATTCCTTTTAAATGTTAAAATTGTACCCACCTTCACCACGCCCTCTGGCAGCTTATTCCATACATGCAACACCCTCAGGTCCTGTTTTAAATCTTTCCCTTCTCACTGTAAACCTATGCCCTCTAGTTTTGGACTCCCCTACGCTGGGGGAAAAAACCTTTGGCATTTCACCCTATCCATATGCCTCATCATTTAATAAACCTCTATAAGGTCACCCCTCAGCCTTTGACACTGCAGGGAAAAAAGGCCCCATCCTATTCAGCCTCTCCTTATAACTCAAACCCTAGCAACATCCCTGGAAATCTTTTCTGACCCCTCTCAAGTTTAACAATATTATTCCTGCAGAAGGGCATCCAGAATTGAGTGCAGTATTCTAAAACTGGCCTCACCAATGTCCCGTACATCTGCAACCTGGTTTTCCAACTTCTATACTCAATGTTCTGACCAATGAAGGCAACTGTGCCAAACACCACCTTCCGCACCCTGTGACTACCTGTGACTCCACTTTCAAGGAACTATACACCTTAGTCTCTTTTTTATGGCAACTCTCCCCAGTACAGATGGGTTACAAATGCTAGCCTTGTCAGTGATGCCCACATGCCACGAAAGAATAAGAGAGTTTGGGTATTATATGGCATTGAAGACAGATAGAGAAAAAAATTACATTCTCACCTGCTATTGATAGAATGGCATCAAAACACTGATTCCGATAAGGTAAATGCAGGCTGTCACATACCATGGCTTCATAGCTCTGCTCCCTTGCTGATTCTACTAGGGGCAGACAATAGTCACAACCTACGTTGTAGGCCTGCTTGTTGATACAAAGGTACTTTCCATTTCCACATCCTAAGGAAAAAAAGTGTTGTGAAAAACGTAAGAGTATTTGTTTCATTAAAATATACCATGCAATACAAAACCAAAAATAATGAAGCACACTCCAAGATGAACACTACAATCATAAACTGATGGCTTATGAACTACTATTCTAACATATGGAGACATCAAGTGGAAGAAGGGTTTCAGATTGAAAAAGTTTTACGTTGAGCTACCAAAATTAATTCTAGTGACCAAAAGCTTCAGGGTAGAAGTTACAATCTTCATGGAAGATTGGGAGAAACCTGGTTTCTCAGGCTTTGCCGCTGATCATCTTCAGAAGTTCCAGTGGAAGCAAGCTCCTTAAGGAAGGAGTTTGTGCTGGCATACAATGTCATAAACAGCAATATTCCACTTCTCTTGTCAGGTTCGGCAATTTCATCAAACTATTTCTATGCACAGCATGTTTACATCATCATTTGACACCAGTTATCAAATAATGCTCATTGGCATTGGCCCTAAATCTAAACCAGGGCCTCTGGTAGATTTTGCCCTTACCTCCATTGAGACCTGTTTCTACAGAAAGGAATCAAAACTAGAACTTTTCTAGTGAGTACAATCCAGTACCATGTTTAGATTTTTGAGCGTTCCCACTCACTGAAATTGGCACAATGTCCAAACAATACCAGGGTGTTATTTAACACCCTGGAGAGGGGGCTTCAGGGAGGCAATGGCATAGTGGTAATGTTATTAGACTAGTGACTTAGAAACCCAGGCCAATGCTCTTGGGACATAGGTTCAAATCCCATCATGGCAGATCAAGAGATTTGAATTCAATAAGAAACAGAAAAAACTGGTCAAACAATGACCATGCATTCCACTGTTAATTGCTGTAAAAATCCATCTGGTTCACTATTGTCCTTTAGGGAAGCAACTCTGCCATCCTTACCTGGTCTGGCCTACATGTGGTTGACTTTCAAATGTCCTTGGGTAATTAGGTATGGACAATAAATGCTGGCCTAGCCAGCAATGTCCACATCCCATCAATTAATAAACAAACCGAGTAATAATGGTTTATCCACATGGTCCTACTAGTAGGCCATTTTAATCAAAACAAGGTCCGATGACATGCAAATAGGTGCATTGACTATTTTGAGATTCAACTGAGCAATCTCCACACAATGTTTGATGGATTTCCAACTGTAGAAAAGTCTAAAGGGAGGAGCAAGAGTTCACTCTGTTCTTCTTAACAACGATACCAGAAAACTGCAGAGAGGAAAAATCTATCTGAAGTGTGACACTTGTACTCACTCACTGGTACTGAGCCACATTTAGTGCATATTTAGATAACACTTTTATATTTTGAATTATTTAAGGCAGGGAGGTGAGGCGAAGGTTTGCGGGAGGGGTGGAAGGTACAGGAGTGGCAACAAAGAGGGAAAAAAACCTCCTTATTACTTATTTGTGTTAATTGTCTGACTTTTTCTCAGGGCAGGCACTTTTCCAGAAGTGGATTCAATTGTGCAAAATGGCACCTGACTGATTAGCCACTCTTAACATTTTCTAATCAACCTGTTCAGAGATGTCATTACATACCCCTGGAGCAGGTGGGACTTGAACTTAGGACTATTGGCTCAGAGGAAGGGTCACTACCACTACACCACAATGGCCCCTGGCCATTGTTTACCTGGGAGCCTAGACAGCAAATAGGCATTCAAAGCTAATTTCCCCACAAGAATACTTTCCAATAACAATGACTAGATACCAAGCCAGAGGGATAATCCTCGCTGGTCCCTCCCTACTCGAGTGCAGTAACATTGAGACCAATTGGAATATTCTAACACAAAAACACTGCAAAGACAGGAGTCAAACTTGAGCAATTCTGCTTTTTATTACTTCATATTACAGACCATCAGAAAAGTCCCTGAAAACCTAAAGAAAACCCTCTCCTTTAAAAACTTAGATCTTTTTCCATTTATTTCTAATGGTAAAGCTTTGCTGCAATTATCACCATTCTCATTCTAAACTATGGTCATGGAAGCTCACAACTCAACATGAGTGAACTTATCTTTCATGATTATCTCACATCAATATTGCTTTGGATACAAAACGACTTCAACAAAATGCTAAGAGACAATAATGACATTCTGAGACAGCAAGAACTGCAAATGTTGGAGTCAGAGATAACACAGTGTAGAGCAGGAGGAACACAGCAGGCCAGGCAGCATCAGAACAGCAGGAACGTTGATATTTCGGGTCGGGATTCAGAAATGGGGAGGGTGACAGGAGCTCAGACTTATAGAGAGGAGGGGTGGGGCTGGGGAAGGTACTTGGGTTGGTGATAGGTGAGTTCAGGTAGGGAGTGGTGGGGATTGGTCAGTGAGGTGGGAGGGGCAGATAGGTGGGAGAGAGAAGATGGACAGGTTGTGTCAGTTCAAGGAGGCAGGGATGAGAGGGTGTGTTGGAGGAGCAGCACCCATATTCCGCTTGTGAGCCTAAGCCCGATGGCCTAAACATGGATTTCACCAGTTTTAAAATCTCCCCACCCCTGGCCTCATCCCATGTCCAACCTTCCCTCTCATCTCCGCCTCCTTGACCTGACACAACCTGTCCATCTTCTCTCTCCCAGCTCACTGACCAATCTCCACCACTCTTTACCTGTACTCACCTATCACCATCCCACCTACCTTCCACAGCCCCACCCCTCCTCTCTCTATTTCCGAGCTCCCTTCCCCCTCCCCATTTCTGAAGAAGGGTCCTGACCCAAAACGTCAACTTTCCTGCTCCTCTGATGCTGCCTGGCCTGCTGTGTTATCTCTTAATAATGACATTCTACTTTCTAGGCTCCCAGGTAAACAATGGCCAGGGGCCATTGTGGTGTAGTGGTAGTGACCCTTTGACTGAAAATTTCAGGCTCGCCTTCCATGTGAATTGTCCATTGAATTCATGGACAAGCTAAATGAATGGTACATCACAATACTGCTCACAAGCAGCCTTCCTCCTATATGCAATACGTTTTGCAATATCACTACTGCATTAACAATGTAACAGAATTCTATGTTACTAATATACACACTTTTATGGCATCTTTCACAGAACAAAACAGATCAACACACTTTACTTAGGGAGTGAACGGGGTGTCAGTGATTCTGAGCAACAAGAGAATAATAAAAAAAGTTGGGGGAAGTGGTCAAAAACATAGTTTTTGAGAGGACTTTGAGTATTTTTTATAAGGTGGAATGAAACGTATTCAGGTTTGATCAAAGAATCCCAAGTGAAAGTACATGATAGTTGAACATTGTATTTTATTCATAAGATGTGGATGTCACTGGCTAGGCCAATGTTTATTATCCTTGCCAAATTGCCAATGAGGGTGGTGGTGATTGGTCTTGACCCGCTGCAGTTGATGTAGCAGAGGGAAACCCACAGTGCTGTTAGGTCGGGTGTTCTAGGATTCTGACTCAGCAATAATGAAGGAACAGTGATATACTTCCAAATCAGAATGATGTGTGGCTTGGAAAACAACTTGCAGGCAGTGGGTCCCATGTATCTATTGCTCTTGAAGGTGCTATTGAAGCAGCCTTGGTGAGCTGTTGCAGTACATCTTACAGATGGCACACACTGCTGATTCAGTGCACAAGATGGAGGGAGTGAGTGGTGAAGTTGTCAGATGATGTACCAATCAAGTCAGCTGCTTTGTCCTACATGGTATTGAGCTTCTTGAGTGTTGTTGGAACTGCACTCATCCAGGCAAGTGCAGAGTATTCCATCACATCTTGACTTTTGCTTCGTAGGTGGTGGACAGACTTTGAGAAGTCAATAATTTCTAACATAATTTCTAATCCCTAACCTACCCCTGAAGTGGAGATTCAACAACAGTAATGCACTGAGAACCAAGGGATAATGGTAGATTCTCTCTTGTTGGAGTTTGTCATTACCTAGGGCTTGAGTGGCATGAGTACTATTTGCTACTTATAAGTCCAAGCCTGAATGTTGTCCAGTTCTTGCTGCATTTGGGCACAGCTTGCTTCAGCATCTGAGTCATGAATAGTGCTGAACATTGTGTGAACATCCCCGCTTCTGACTTTATGATGGAGGTAGGTCATTGATAAATCAGCAGAAAGATTTTTGGGCCAAGGACACTTCCCTGAAGAGTTCCTGCAGAGATATCCAGGACCTGAAATGATTGACCCCCAACAACACCAACTGTCTTGCTTTATGTCAGATACGACTCCAACCAGTGCAGATTTTCCCATTGATTCCTGTGGACTTCAGTTTTGCTAGGCCTCCCTGATGCTACTTTAAGTCAAACGCGGTCTTGATGTCAAAGCTAGTCACTCTCACCTCAACTCTTCTATCCATGATTGAACCAAGCTCATAATGAAGCCTGGAGCAGAGTGCCCTGGGCAGAACCCAAACTGAGCATGACTTAGCAGGTCATTGCTAAGCAAGTGCTGCTTGATAGCACAGTAGATAATACTTTCCATCATTTTACTGATGACGCAGTAATTGGATTTGTCCTGCTTTGTCTGCACAGGACATACCTTGCAATAGCCCACATTGTTGGGTAGATCCCAGTGCTGTAGCTGTTTTGAACTTGGGAGAGAAATAATTCATAAATAATCAACTTCAAAAAGGTATCCTTCAAATAAAAATGTTGAAGGAGCACTGGAGTATTTGATTTTCCACTCCTCCAGAATTACTCTGGAATTCAACATTCATAGACTCAATACTACAGCAATTCAGCAGAGAGAAACAAAATCATAATTCCATTGAAAGGGAGTCTTTTATTTCCACTTCTTTAAACTTTTATCAATGAATAAGACAAATTATCGGATGTGGGAAAATGACAAGTCGAATGATGAAAACCTCAGGAATATGCTGAATCAGAATCTGTACCCTAGGGCAGATTATAAACTGCAGAGGTCAGCATGATTTATAGTTTACACAATGTGAAGCTTGGGAGCCTTGTAGGAAAAGCATTTGAGACATCAGGTGTTTTTTTTGGGGGGGCAGTACATGGCTTGGTAGGTGGAAACATTTGGGGGGAGTCAGGGGAAGAGGTATGTAGAGCCAGGGGAGCTGACTATTAATGCGTTCTTCCTGATTTAAAAGGGCTGAGCTTCTGGTGTAGGGTCTACATCTGCTAGGAGCTGTGCTAAATAAATTACGTTAAATAACTCGATAAGTACAGGGGAATCAGCCCAAGTTGATGGACTGAAAAGTCCTAGTGAACCCTTCCAGGTGAACTGCCATTTCTAGATTTGAGTACAAATCAGTTTCCGAGAGGTTGTGGTGCTGTTGCAGCCCTCATAGTGACAACCTTCTCAGGGCTCTCCAATATTGGGACCAGAAGATCCATCATTTGTTTTAAAAATCGAGGGGAGCTGAACAGGATAATTTCAATATTGAAGGTGTTGAGCTGAAGGTGTTGCAGTTATGTGACAACCATCCAAAAGAAGAAAATCTTTAATCACAGCAGACAGTTTTTACATTATTGCGTTATGGAAATAAGCAGAAGAGTTTGGTAATAAGATTTAAATCATTTTTAGCATCTAAATAAAACAGAAGCACCCTCTGACTAAAACATCTTATCACTCAAATAGATCAGCAAGCAAAAAACATACTAACCAACATCTGCAATGAGACTGCCAGGTTCTTGTTCCAAGAGGAACTGTCGTACTCGGGGCCAGGCCTTATAACGAGAGTCATTGAAATGAGGGGCGATCCTCTCATAGACATTATGAACATAGTCCTTTTCCAAACGACTTGCCTCTTTATCCATAGTGAAATCATGCATTCTGTCATGAAACTGTCTAAAGCTCTAAGGGGCTTAAGGGAAAAACAGCAAACAAGATATTAAAAAAAAACAGAAAAAAAAAATCAACATTGCAGTTAATAATTTTAGACTTGGTATTTGCACATAAAAATTCAGGATACACATTAAATGTCTGCAGTTTCTCATAACACTAATCTATATAAATATTTTTATAAGTTCTATTTGTCTTGTTTCTAGATACAGCCTTTACTAACTACATGCCCACATCCAACCTAAAAAGCCAATTTCTCTCCAGCCTTATCTCTACCATCATTTCTAACCTGGTGCCTACCATCAGCAGGATATTCAGCCTTCACTTGCATCCTGTTCAGGACTTGCTTACTCAAAACTGAGGCTAGCTTCAACCATCTGCTTGGCTTGCATTCTCCTCCTATACTCACATCTCACATCGCAGTTGACATCAATAATAAAAGGTACTTTCTGACAAACTTTGGCACCAAAGTCACATGATTGCAGGACATCCAAAACACTTTACAGCCAATGAAATACTTCTGAAATGTAGTCCCTGTTGTACTGAAGGAAACAAAGTGAATTTGTACACAGCAAGCTCCCATAAAATGCCATCAAATGAGGAATTCATAATATGATTTGAAGATGTTGTCTAAGGAATAAATATTGGCCAGGACACCAAGGATAATTTCCTTCTAAAGAGTGCCAAAGGATCTTCTACATTCACTTCAGGGGGCAGACTGGGCCTCAGCTTAATGTTTCACGTAAAAGAAAACAATAACAAAAACAGAATAGTGTTCTGATGCAGGGCCACTGGACTCGAAACAGTAACTGTTTTCTCCCCACAGATGCTGCCAGACCTGCTCAGTTTCTCCAGTAATTTCTGTTTTTATTTCAGATCTCCAGCATCTGCCCTTCATTTTTAATTAAAGAAAATGATAATTTCTCTAGGATTTCCTTTGAACTACAGTGAGAGATTGGAAGAACCACGTGGATATCTCCACCTTGTATTTTGGCAACAGTGATAGAATACTTTCAGAAGCTCTTTTAAGCTGAAGTACAATGTATTGCAAAGATCCTGGATTATTTAGTCTTATAAAGGAAGGTTTCTTTGAAAAGCGGCATAATCATAAGGTCACCAGAAATCATAATTAACCTAATCATATAAGGGGCGCATAACTGCTACGGTAATACGTTCAACCGAAACAATGACCTTTACAAAATGAAACTCATTTTATAAAGGTCAAATGTAAATAGTGCAAAAATAATTAAAACAGATCTAAGTCTGCATTTGTGAAATTAAGTATAAACAGTTCTGAAGGGCAATTAGGCAAGTTTTTCCTTTATTCTTTCAAGGGATATGGGCATCTCTGTCCAAGCTAATATTTGTTGCTCAACCCCAATGACTCTTGAGAAGGTAGTGATCTATTTCAATGGCTCCAATCCATCTTGTGCGGTTATACTTACTGTACTGTTGGGAAGGGAGTTCCAGGATTTGAATTCGGTGACAGTGAAGGAATGGTGATATAGTTCCAAGTCAGAATTTTTTTTTCCCTTGATAGAAACATGAAGGTGGCGGTGTTCAGTATCTGCTGCCCATGACTTTCTAGGTGGAAGAGCTCACAGGTTTGGAAGGTCCTGTCAAAGGAGTCACGGCTAATTGCTGTAGTCATCTTGTAGACAGCACACATTATTGCATTGGCGACTTGATGGTGAAGGAAGTGAACAATGAAGGTGGTGGATAGAATGCCTATCAAGCAGATTACTTTGTGCTGGATTGTGTTTAGCTTCTTGAAGAAATCACACTCATGTCAGCAAGTAAATCCATCATACTTACACCAATGCCTTCAGGTTGGTGGACAAGCTTTGGGGAGTCAGGTTATGGATTATATACCACAGATTTCCCAGTTGGCATTTTTTTTAGCCACAGTATATATATATGACTAGTGAAGTTAACTTCTGATAACCCTCAGGTGTTGAAAGCAACTGTAATGCCACTGAATCTCAGCATCTGAGGACAGAAAATAAGTCAATGTTTTGAGTTCAGTGACCCTTTGAAAGTTGTTCAGGTCTTGGCATAAATGGACACAAGCTGCTTCAGTATTTGATTCATCGCATATGATCCTGAACACTGTGCATTCATTGTGAATATCCCAGATTTTGAGCTTATAATGGAGGGAAGGTCATTAATTAAGCAGCTAAAGATTATTCGGCCAAGGGTGATACCGTAGAAACACAGGTCAATCAACCCTGTGAGCCTGCTCTGCTATTCAATATGATCAAGGCTGATCCTCTATCTCAATGCCTATTTCCTGCTTTCTCCCCATACCTCTCTTGCCTTCAAAATCAAAAAACATACCTCTCTCTTGAATATATTCAATGTCTTGGCCTCCAAAGCCTCCTGTGGTACAGAGTTCAGTGAAGAAATATTTTCTCATCTCATTCGTAAATGGTCTATCCTACCCCATATCCTGAGACAATGTCTTCTGGTTCTAGATTCCCAAGCAGAGTAAACATCCTCCCAGCATATAGGCTGTAAGAATTTTACACATATAATATCCTCGCTCATCCTTCTAAACTCTAGTGAATACAGGCCCAATCAAACCTCTCTCTCTTTGTAGGTCAGTTCTGCTATCCCCAGTACCACCCCAGCAAACATTCACTGCTCTCCCTCTATGGCAAGTATATCCTTTCTTAGGTAGGGAGACGAAAATTGCACATAATACTCCAGGTGTGGTACCACCAGTTCCCTGTGTAACTGCAGTAAGACATTCCCACTTCTGAATTCAGATCCTCTTCCAATCACCAATGATAAAAGACACTCAGATTCCTTTGTACATCCACATTTCTCAATATATCACCATTTAAGTAACATTCTTCCTTTCCGTTTTTCATACTGAAGTGCATAACTTCACATTTAGCAACATTATACTTCATCTGCCATGTGTGTGTCCACTGAACTTGTCTAAATCACCTTGAAGCCTCCTTGCATCATTATCGCAACTGACATTCCCAACCAGTTTTGTACCATCTGCAAACTTAGAAAAGTGGTATTTTTGGTTCCCTCAGGCAGGTCATTTACATATATGATGAAAAGCTGGGGCCCAAGCACTGATCCTTGCAGTACCACACTAGTTACTGCCTGCCTTGAAAACTTTGAAAAAGACTAATTTATTTCCACACTCTGTTTCTGCTCTGTCAAACTTCTCTCAGTCCATAACAATATATTACCCCCTCTCCAATGTGCTTTAACCTCCTATGAGTACCTTATTGAAAACCTTCTGGAAATCTAAATACACTGCATCCACTGGTTCTCTCTGATCTATCCTATTAGTTATATCCTGAAAAAACTCTAGTAGACTTGTTAGGCATCTTTTGTCTTTCATAAACCCATTCTGGCTTTGTCCAATCGCATTAACACTTTCCAACGTTCTATCATCACAAAGAAGAACTGAATACCTCTGCGATAATGTCCTGGGCCAGATAGGATTGACCTCCAATAACCATTTTCCTTCACGCCAGGTAGACTTCAAACATGCAGGAGAGTTCTCAGTCTTAGTCGTTTCCTCTTCGCTCTGCCACCTCCCCACTAGCCCCATTTCTCACAACAACTGATACCCTTTCACCAACTGTACTTTAGCCAATGTTTCCTTCCTCTTCCTAACTGAGTGCTCTCCTATTTCTAGTTTCCTGTCCACGTTGTCCAATCTGAATGTTACAGTTTCTCTTTCCGCAGCTATGGCCCTAGTCCCAAGTTTCCCATCCCTTGCTATTGAAGACTCATCCAAGCCTCTGTTACCTTAGACTTGGCTGTTCCAATGCTCCTCGAGCTAGTCTACCATCCTCTACAAACATATCCAAGAATCTGCGCCTTATATTGTACCTCACTTCCCCACACCTCCACCAAACTTATGGGGAGTCAATGGCCTAATGGTATTATCACTGAACTGTTAATCCAGAGATCCAGGTAGTGTTATGGATATCAGGTTAAAATCCTGCCATGGCAGATGTGGGAATATGAATTCAATATTAAAAAAAAATCAGACAATAACAGTCTAATGATGACCATGAATCTATTGCCGATTATCGGAAAAACCCATCTGGCTCACTAATGTCCTTTAGGGAAGGAAACTGCCATCCTTACCTGATCTGGCCTACACGTGATTCTGAATCCATAGGAATGTAGTTGACTCTTAACTACCTTCTAGGTAATTAGGGATGGGCAATAAATGCTGGCCTAGCCAGCAACGCCCTCATCCCATGAATGAATTTAAAAAACTGATTTAGGTATTTTTGTTTATAATGCTTCCCATTGGCAGCCTTGGCTCTATGTTCTAAAAAAAATTGTTTTTGTTCTTTTTCTGTCCCTTCGGTCTGTGTAGTAAAATTTCCAGAGAGAGATTTCTCTCTTCTTCACAACAATCCTCCTCCCTGCTCTCCTCTCCTTCAAACAAGACGGAACAATTACAATAATGAGCAACTGCTGGGTTAAGTGCTCCCATCAAGCTAGTTAATTAATTTCATGGATCATTAAAAAAAATCAAATACCATGCTGGATTTTATTCCATTTTTTTAGTGATTGCATTGTTAGGCTTGACACACTGCAGTATTTTATCTTCTGTGTTAGTAATTTCACATTTTGAACCTTCTGCACACAACACAAAATGACTGAATTCCAACACCGCAGGATAGCATCTGTAAATAGAATGATTGTGAAGCTGTGAAATTTTCCCAGATTTATCATGTAATAATGCAGGTGTTTGTTTCTGAAAATTAAGACTTAATGATTTTAAACTGTAACTCATCTTTTACATGAAGATTTCCATAATTTACACACAAAAACCCTCAATTCTAAATACTACTTGAAGAGGAGTAATTTTACATGCAACTTTAAACTCTGGCTAACCATGCGACACATTCAGGTCACCTTATTTGACTGTAAAATCAGATCATGTAAATTAGAATGCTGTGTAGAATGTCTTTTACTTATGCATCACCCTTCTTTTATGTAGAAATACAGATCACATCCTAACAGTGCCAACTG